AGGATAACCTTGAGAGTGTCGGAACAAAAGCCAGTTGCGTGCTATGCAATGATCAATTCTTGAAAGAGATCGGAAAATAAATACTAAACGTAAAGGGCACAATCACACCTACTTTTGCGCAGCGCTTCGTGTCGTGGGCTTCCTTGTCACAGAGTGACCATCACAACATGCCTCTGTTTCGCTGAAACAAATGCCTAAATTTTAACACCGAACAAGGCTGCACCATCTTCCGCCATAACGCAGCTGACACGTGACTCTCACCGCCCAAGCGTGCCGAAGTCGCACACGTCGCCATCGGGCGGATACATGTCACGTGGGTCCCCCTGGTAGGTGGCGCTAAAATCGGCGGTGATAGCCGTGGACACCGACCGACACGTCTTCTTCTGCTTCCGCCGGCCCGAGTGCGGCGAGCACGCAAACGACCTTGACCTTGGCGGCTGGGTCGGGAAGTCACCGTTCGTCTGCACCGCGTACCGATTGAGCACACCACTGGCGGACTTGGCCCACGGTCGGGCCCCGCGTGCGGCTGGCCCGCCCGCCTTCGGCAGCGCCAGTGCCTCGTAGAGGTGATTCGAGACAGCCAAGCGGTCGGCGTCGTCGAAGATCGGCATCACCGACACCGGCTGGTCCACCGCGCAGCTGGCCGCCGCGTCTGATCCCGCGGCACCGACAGGGGTCCGACGACGGCTGTCGCCCAGGAGAACGTTGGAGGATTGGCTGCGAATCTTCAATGAGGCGGGCCGGCAGAATGTTGGAAGCGAATCTCTGGATTTTTGATGGTGGGTATTCCATACGCCATTGTGACCTGTGAAACAAATGCGTCCGTTATGCGCATGCTATTTTCGGCCCATACCTGGCTTCACCCGACTAAGCCACTCTTGGCTTTCCAGAATGCGTTTGGCGGTACGCCATGGATGTGTGGAAGACACTCCAACTTAATGCGCGTGTGAACGACGGAGTGCTAACTTCCTACCACACCATTAAGTCGCCTTATTTGGGTGAGACGTGAAGGGGCCTCTAAAGACAAGAGAGCGCTTGGCGTCCAGGGATCACCGCGTACAATAATCACCGCAGATGTGCGTGAGATGCGAGCACACGAAGAATAGCTCAAGCGTACTATTTTCCGCATTAAACACAATACAGTTCTCTCTCGTAAGATAGAGCTGATCGAAGGACGCACATCTGCGGGCCACGAAGCCCTGTTCCCCCGGTCAGGATTCACCCGTGCTCTCACCTGCGTTGGGGTCGGTGGGGGCCGGATCGAGCAGGGCCGTGGTGGCGTACGGCGAGGGCGCCACCGGCGGTCGGCGCGGCAGCGTGGCGCCGGTGAAGGCCGGCAGCGTGCGACAGCTGAGCTCGGCCGGCTCGGGCCGCTTGGTGGCGCCCCAGGCGGCGCCGTCCATCCAGGAGGCGGGACGCACGCCCGACGGCAGCAGCGCCAGTCCCTCGGGCCGCTTCTCACCGACAGCTGCCGCACACGCAGAGACATTCGCTTAGCATTAGACACTTGGGCCGCTTCTCACCGACAGCTGCCGCGCATGCAGAGACACTCGCTCAGCATCTAATGCTCGGGCCGCTTCTCACTGGCAGCTACCGCACATGCAGAGACACTTGCTCAGCGTCAGACCCTCGGGCCGCTTCTCACCGACAGCTGCCACACACGCAGAGACACTCGCTCAGCAAAAGACACTTGGGCCGCTTCTCACCGATAGCTGGCGCACACAAGAACATGCATTCAACGCGCACGCAAGGAAATGCGTATGCACAAGGACATCAGGATGTTTTAGTGATGACTGCAGGACACACATACTTAAGCATTCCTCTAAAGATGACTGCCGGGTACGGTTACTCAGTTAAGGCCTAAGGACAGGGACGGATAATCGTTCTAGAGAGTGGTGATGATGGGGAGAAGACCCTATTTTTGTAAATTATTGTCATGCATTACCACTCGGTTCAAGTCACACACGATCATGTCGTGGGAGGTGTGCAAGGGACGGTAGATGTAGGATAGGGGTGGTCCTACTGTGGAACCTCCTGGCACCTCACCCCATCCCCTACGGCACCTCACCTTATTGACATCTACTGAACACCAATTTGGTTACACAAATGCGCAAACGCCCAAAAGGCTGTTTCTCACCAACAGTCACAATGAGGGTGGCTGCTGGTGCTGTGTCGCACATTTAGTCACAATCATGGCCCCAAGCCGCTCATAACTGCCGCACACACGGACTGGGTTAGGGAGGCTGACTACAGACATCTGTTCCAGAACAGTCAACAATTCACCGTCTCATGTTACCGCTAGCTGTTTTATGCACATTATCTGCTATGGCTGCCCCTCACCAACAGCCGGCCCACTCACTGACCCGTTCACCGCCTCAGGCCACTGACACCCGGCGAACAGTCAGACTCAGCCTCCCCCCCCCCCCCCCTCATCGGGACCAGTCCGGCCTGATAACTGCAGGATACAGATCGTCAGGAGGCTCAGACAGCTGCAGCAGTTATCGACACCAGAGCCGTCTGACGGCGACTGCTGAAACTGTAGGTTTTGCTGCGCTCCGTATGGTACAAAATACACAACGGCTAAGTACAGCCACGCCAAGTTTCAAGCTGGTCTCATGGACAGCCGCGGCAAACTGAAGGCTTCTGGTAGTAGAAGGGTTCGTGTAGAAGGGAAGGTGGGTGAAGTAAAATCTTGCGAGGCATGTAGGAAATATGGGGAAACGGCATGCCTTGCAGAACATTGTATACTGCAGTCACCGAACTCGACAACGAAAGCACGAGCCGGAGAAAAGTAGAACAACGGAGACCAGCACACCTACCTCTGGTAAGAGCTTTGTTGCGCCTCCTACGGTGGACGCAGACCAGCAGGGCGGCCAGCACCAGCAGCAGCAGCAGCGCCAGCACACCTAGCGTGGTCAGGAACCAAGCCCGTTGCAGCAGAGCGGGCGGCGTCGGCTCCACTGGCGGCTGTGCTGGCGGCTGCGCTGGCGGCGGACGGCGGCGGCGGCCGGGCAGGAGTCAGCCGGAACGACAGCGGCGCAGAGGCGGAGCCCAGGCCGGCAGCCGTCTCCGCCGCCACCCGCACCGTGTGCAGGCCGCTGCTGCTCAGGCTGTACAGCGTCACCTGGTGGGCAGAGGCGGCTTTACAGCGGCGCGCTGCTGCACACTGAACACGAGCGGAGGGTAGGCGACCATGGCGGGGAGGCTACTGCGGTGCATGGGAGCTCCGTCAACTGTTACCACATTAGAGGTGATGACATTGTAGAGGAGCATCCGATCCCGAGACCACTGACGGCTCATGATAGCGGAGATGTATTCGGTGGTACTCCAGTATCCCGGCGGATGATTGCATTGAAGAAGGCTGGCTCCTGAGTGCAATCGTACCGAACAGAAGCACACTATAAGTATCCAATTAGCCCAGGAACAAACATGTCCTGAGCGAACACGAGAAAATCTCATTGAAACCAGTGTGTACCATTACTGACTTTGCCACAAGTGTGCTTTTGGAGTAGGGGAATCGAGGCTTAGTGTCAGGCTTAGTGGCTGGTGAATGGAATGAGATCAAATATACAACATAAAAGCTAAAATCTTCGTCGATATTACCTACATCACGTTCAAATTTGCAAGTTGATCTCCAAGAGGAGATGCGGACAGGCCCAGCTGTGAGCAAGGTGCTTCAGCCCCTTCCCAATGCGAGGAAAACGAGCCAGCGCATCAAAAGTCATATTTGGTATGGAGTAGCTGTGATAATTTGTTTCAATGCTGCAACGACTGCAAGGATAAGAGACCGGTCCCTCTGGGCCCATCCGGCTATATTCCAGGCCAAGCTATTTCTGGCTTCGCGGAGTGTCAGAATGGCAGGAGAGAGAGAGAGAGAGAGAGAGAGAGAGAGAGAGAGAGAGAAGAGAGAGAGAGAGAAGAGAGAGAGAGAGAGAGAGAGAGAGAGAGAGGAGAGATAGAGAGAGAGAGAGAGAGAGAGAAGAGGAGAGAGAGAGAGAGGAGAGAGAGAGAGAGAGAAGAGAGAGAGAAGAGAGAGAGAGAGAGAGAGAGAGAGAGAGAGAGAGAGAGAGAGAGAGAGAGAGAGAGAGAGAGAGAGAGAGAGAGAGAGAGAAGAGAGAGAGAGAGAGAGAGAGAGAGAGGAGAGAGAGAGAGAGAGAGAGAGAGAGAGAGAGAGAAGAGAGAGAGAGAGGAGAGAGAGAGAGAGAGAGAGAGAGAGAGAGAGAGAGAGAGAGAGAGAGAGAGAGAAGAGAGAGAAGAGAGAGAGAGAGAGAGAGAGAGAGAGAGAGAGAGAGAGAGAGAGAAGAGAGAGAGAGAGAGAGAGAGAGAGAGAGAGAGAGAGAGAGAGAGAGAGGAGAGAGAGAGAGAGCTGAGAGCTCTGGAGAGCTGACGCCTCCAATTGGCCCAGCCCTGAGTTTTAACGGGGAAGAGAGACGCTCTCCGACGAGTTCGTAATTAAGTCAGGTGCGGCTATGGAGCGGTGTAATTGCTCGATTGCCTGGGAGATTAATGTGCCACAAGAGGTTCCTGAGCTAAGTCAGACAGCCTTCTCCTACGCCAGGAAAGCTAATGGGAGGTTTGGAAACCGCACATAATCGGGTAAGGGTGCAAATTAATTGGTGCAGAGTCCAGTGTCCCCGGACATGGCCGAAACGTGATGGCGTAATGTTTGCTATGAAAATGTACCACAAGCTGTTCGAACGTAGATGGTGCAATTTGGAGCGGATGTGACTTACGGTGACTAACATGCGATGTGGTTTGTCTAAATGAAGTTTGAAAACTTCTCTGAATGAATGAGATGCGACTAAAACGTGTTGCATACGTTGGGCGGGTTGCAATTAATCGCCACGTCACATCACCTGGCTTTAGCAACGCACCCCAAGAATCACGTGGCGACAGCCTGGAAAGTCACAGCTCCAGCTGAGGTGATTTTTGGGTCATTGTGTGTCATTGGGGCTTTACGGTGCACTCCGCTGCTGAGGCTATACGGCGTCGCTTACCTTTCACCCTGACAGGAAGGGCGGGCACCGCGGAGAGTCGAACCCCGTAACTCTGGTTTCCAAGACGCGCAGTGATTAACGCAGACGCGTTAACCACTACACAACCGGCACCCCACTGAGGTGACGTGGCCTTACTTTTTTGACACGTGAAAATGTTCGTAGGCATGGCAATCATACGTTCTGCCCAGCTGAACTTCATGTAATAGATGAACGACAAAATTATTATATGGCGTAAAACTTCTTCGGGAACTTAAGTTTCCATGGCGTAGCTGTAGACGGCCGGGGACGTAAAAACATGGTTTTGCTACTCCCCGTTTTAGCTATTTTATTTTGTTTTCGTACGTTCATCATGTAGCCGGCGGAGTTTGCTATTTAAATATCTCTCAAACATGCCGATGAAGACGGAGAAACGGCCGAGCCTGCCAGCGGTTAACACGCCCAACGTTTAAATAGTTGTTCTCCACCCCATCTCCCATCTCCAAGCTGAGGCCACTACATCAACTAACACCATGCTCACAACGCGCATACGTCGCACTTTCGTCCTAGACCTTCGAACACAGCGGTCCTGCCTCATGCCGAGCGCCCGGCCCCTCTGACCACCTCCGCCATTGGAGGCGAGGGCGGGGCTCGCCCCAGTCCCGCCGTACCTGCGTGGCGCCGGCGCTGACCCCGAAGCTGACCTCTTCTGTGACGTTGCGTCGCCGCGACCGGACAAACACGCGGTATCCCAGCAGGCGGCCGTCGGTGGCGCCGTTTGGGGGCGGCCGCCACGAGACGACGGCGACGGTGGCATTCACGGCGCGTGCTGCCAGCCGGCCGGGGGGCGCTGACGGCAGGGGGTAGGGGGAGGGGGGCGGTACGGTCACCAATCATCGGACGAAACGCACGGACCGTTTGCTTTGGACGCCGGGGTGAAACATGATCATGCATCTATGGAGTCGCGGACGCGTCAAATGTACTCCTTGGCTTGCACCCCGGGAGGCATCCAAAGGTCATTTTGCCAGAAGACGCGAAATAGCCAGGCATTGGAAACGGTCCCAAATTCTTCACAGCCATAATCACTTAATTAGCTTCTGTCTATCAGGGCAGCTTCTGTGAAACGATGAAATAACGTCGCGAGGGTGTACTGGGAGACGATGGAGCGTACAGAGGACAAGCAAGCAAGAAGCTCACAATTCTGTGACACGTGTTTTTCTCTTTTTGTTGGCACTAGCAAACCATCAAGACACAAGCTAAACAAATTAATGTGGATCTGGGGCACAGCAACCGAGATTCTTTGGGTGCAGGCAGGAAACATCTTTTCATAACAAAATGAGTCCCGACACACTGCACCCAAGCTGAATAGCCAATGTGCGGGCATTCAGGGGGAGTGAGAGGAGGCGAGCGAACACAGTGAGTGTTTTGCTTGCGCTTGAGCTGCACAGTCGGCATCAGGGGGAGCCGGCCCATGATTTCTCCGGCTCACTGGCTGTTATCTCTGCGATAGCCGTGTCTAACCTATCTGGACTTAACAATAAGCAGCTCGTGGCTATTTAATTAATATATTTGAGGATACCCAAAGTCAAAAGCAAAAACGTAGCTTCTGGAGATATCTCACTTCTAGTCCTGGAAGTGTCCCTTCTGAGTAAGTGCTCCATCAGAGTGGTGGCTTGCTCTAACAAGTGATGTGGCGCGGCGTAAGACACACACACGCCAGGGCTGAACAGACGCATACGCGTGCCTAACGGATAGCGCGGCAGATAGCATGCGGGGCCTGCGCGGTTCCCAGGCTGCGTTGGGTGCCACTTGTGATGCGAGGCATGTTTACAACAATTTTGCATCGTCAATTACAACAATTTTGAGTCGAAATGAACGGGCCCGGGGGTGGTGTGAGTCGTGCAGTAAAAGGCATACTTATGACTACAAGCGGCGTGCCACAGGAGGAGGCGTAGCTGTCCCCAGAGGCGGCGTTCTACAGAAGGAAGTGCTCCTGTCCCCACGGGCAGTAGGCAGACCCACAGCGCACATTTCGCCCCAGAGGCGGTGTACAGACCCAGAGGCACACTCAACCCCGAGGCAGTGTGCAGACCCACAGCGCACACTTACCCCCGAGGCAGTGTGTTGACCCAGAAGCACACTTACTCCCGAGGCAGTGTGCAGACCCGGAGGCACACTTACTCCCCGAGGTAGTGTCTAGACCCACAGCGCACACTTACCCCCGTGGCAGTGTGCAGACCAACAGCGCATACCCCCCCCCCCCCCCGAGGCAGTGTGCAGACCCACAGCGCACACTTACCCCCCGGAGGCGGTGTGCAGACCCAGGTGCCCACTTACCCCCCAAGGCAGTGTGCTGACCCAGAGGCACACTTACCCCCCCCCCCCCCCAGGCAGTGTGCAGACCCAGAGGCACACTTAACCACCGAGGTAGTGTCCAGACCCACAGCGCACACTTACCCCCTTGGCAGTGTGCAGACCAACAGCGCACACCCCCAGAGGCAGTGTGCAGACCTAGAGGCACACTTACCCCCAGTGGCAGTATGAAGACCCAGAGGCACACTTACCCCCCAAGGCAGTGTGCTGCAGTAGGAGGTTGGAGGGCAGGCCGACGCCCTCGGCAGTGACGGGCAGCACGAAAAACTGGTACGTAGTGTCCCGCCTCAGGCCGGCCACTTCGGCGCTGGCGCTGGCGCCGGCGCTGGCCGCCACCGGCAGCTGCACCCACTGCATGCTGGTGCTGGCGGCCGGGCTGAAGAAGACGAGCAGCTCCAGCACCGCCCGCCGCCCGGTGCTGACCTGCAACTGCGGCGGGCCCTGCCCTTAGCGCCGGCGCGGTCACCAGTCGGGGCTCCACTTGGAGCTCCCGTTTCTAAGCGGCTTGTGGTACGGTGGATGGGACAGATCTGAGCTAGATACTGTTATAGGATTTTGCGGCGACACGTGTACTCGGTGTTACCAGAAACGCGCATGCTTCACAAAACTTCGGGGCATCTATTCAGCTTGTTGAGCCAAGCGTATTGAATCAATTCGTCTTTTGTCGTCCAACCTGTCGGGAACTGAATTTATCAGGGAAGGCTGGCAGTGCAGTGTATTTCAGGGAATAGCTCTTGAGGTCAGCGGACCGGGTCCAATTCGGCTCTCAGACCGAGCGAACGGCGGCGGTGGGCATTGATCGCCTCCGTCGCCAAACTCACGCCCGACCCGTAAAATCAGGAAATGGAAATGCGCTTGCGAAATGATTGGACTAAACGCAGGAAAGCGTGATTGATATGCAACGCCGGGGATCATTTACATGGGCAGCGGTACGTGACGGGGCCGTGAGGGCAGGAGTCAGCCTCGGTAGCGCCACGCTGTGCCACCACATAACACACGGCGCCAGAGAGCGCCGCCCCGCAGCCGCTTTATAATACAGCTAGATGTCGGGGCGCCGTCGGCATCCAGAACAGCTGCGCCGCGCGGGGCCTCGCCGGTTACCCAGAGCCCCGGCGGCACGTGGGGCCTCGTTGTTTTGGGGTGTGAGCGTGTGCTCTGCTGTGAACAATACCTTGTTATATGTAGTTGCCTAGGCGCGCATATATGGCATTCAAAGCTTATTCTGACTGTCTTAATGGAACAGCTTTGGGGGCATCAGATCCAGTATCAATCAAATATCATCACGCAAACCATAAACCATGGCATGGAGTCATTCAACACGATGTGGATGTTTTAGTACACCTGACGTTCCGGCCAGATCATGAGCACGAAATCATACCTAAATGATTGGGTTCTCAGCATTAAGTGCTCCAATATCCCGTATTTTGTCCACGGATTTCCTTGGTGCATCATATATTACTAATTATCGTTTGTGGTTGCAGAAGTCACGACGTACATGGCACAGACTCTTTACAAGCGGCGGCAAACAACCATCCAGCGCTGAGATCGGTAACCAATGCGATGACCACTTCAAACTGTGTCGTAGTGTGGCCTGACGCGATTCCCCTATCTTGTCACGGCATGTCTTTGTGTGCCTACTAACCCCGCATGTGGTGTGGGTCAGTAGGTCATGTCACGGAAGGCAACTTTCAGGGAATATATGTAAATGAGTTTCACACCTCCCTCCACCACCGAGTGCCTTGCAGTCCAAGTAAGCCGATGAACCGGCAGCATCTTTCAGCTGGAACACCTGCCCACTTGCTGAAACAGCGCTAAAAAGCCGAACCCAAACACCAACCCAAAACAAGAACCAAAACCCAAACACCATTTCTAAATCTGCAGGTAACGTGCGGAGAGGTTGAAGCGTTATGACGTTCGCACGCTGCAGTTTAGATTGCTGGGTGCGAAAGGCTTCCCGCTCCCCTTTGCGTAGCGTATGATATCTATCGAAATCTAGATGAGTCGTGTTTGCAATGCCGGTCATTGATAGTCGTGAGCCATCCATGCTAGATGTTCGTGTCAGTTTCACTCAAGTCAGTATTGTTTGCACGAAAAGCGCGCCTTGTGAATGGGAAACTGTGAGGTGTCCACTGCAATTAAACCTACGTTTGGGTTGCATTGTGTGTTTACGAATGGAAAGAAACTAGCTGGAAACATAAATTGGTTGGTGACGGACAATTACTCGCGATGCGCCAAGCGAGTGGATACGTTCCTATTCGGACGGCCTTGTCTAAAATGATTGCGTGGCAACACCAAGGAGTCATGCGGAAGCAAAAGCACAGAAGTTCGCAAATGTGAAAGCATTCAAACCATATTTTCGCGCCGAATGGTCTAGAGCTGTCGCAATGGTCCCTGGCCAGAGTTGAGCGCTTCAGCCACCACGTTATAACCTATTCAAAGTACGTCCTTACGTTGAATGTTTGCTGGCTCCTTGGCCTGACCATAGCCGACAAAGCGCCTGGCATAAAAACGTACGCGTGAAAAGCTGTCAATGCTCATGTCAGGGCTTCAGTTGTGCAACACTAGTTTCGTCTTATCCAAAATGCGTTAAAACTAAATGCACATGTCTTGAAAATAACTGGGTACGTTTCCGGGAAATCAGACGCCGACCTTCAGCGCATTTGGAGGTCAAAATAACACAGCCTGGTTCATTGGCCGCGGTAGGGCATGCTTTACATTTGAAAGATTCGTCGGTAGCTGACAAAACACTTGCGCGTATGGAAAAGATATCCGCATGTTGCAACAAGATACGCACATGGATAGCCCGCTTCGAAGTGTTGCTCTGTCTGACGATAGCACTGAAGACACTAATCATTAGTCGCCGCATCGAGTTTTACCATACGTTTGCATCTTAAAAGGCTTTGTCGTCCGTCCGTTCAAAATCACAATGTTCAAGTGGAGACCTACAAACTGAGCTGTCACAAAAGAGCGGGAACATCAAATGCATCGTCAGGAATTCGGTGCGATGAAACGGGCAATATAAATGAATTATTCACACAAGTTCGCGAAGCTGGCTCAACGCCAGCCACCACTCCACAAGCCTCTTGCGATTGTTCCGCGAAACACCACACGAAACATTTAAAACTTTTCTCAGTGACTCTCTGGAGACCCTCCCAAGTTGACACCTCCGCTGAGCAGCCAACCACCAGGGCCTCCTCACCAGGTTGGCAACGTACCTGCATTTCCAGCCGGATGGCCGTGGTGTTGAGGGCCGCCGCTGACGTCACGGTGACCGGTGACGTCACAGGCTCGGTGGGCCGGGTCACCCGTAGTCGCACCTCCGAACTGTTGACCCGGCCTTGTGCTGACGTCACCGTGCATCGGTACCGGCCGCTGTCGGCCACGCCCACACCTGCGGCGGTTGACACACAGTTCAGTCCACTGGCACAGCAAGCTGCATCCAAACAGCGTAGTATAGACTCGCTGTACGCAGCGTCCTTTTGCTTTCAGACCGTAGTATATAACACGCGCCAATGTCACGCCCATATCGGCAATGCAAGATCAACGGAATAGCTTCGCCTGTAGATGTGTTTAGGCACCGCTATGTTGAGAACTTTGCAGCGATATGAGTTGTAAAAGTGTCCATCTGGCTCCTCTCACACAAATCATGAATGTTTTACTAACTACTTATGGGCGTTTTCAAACTACTTACGAAGGTTATTTTAAAGCCGTATATGAACGTTGATTTTTACTGAGAGTGAAGCTTTAGGTCAAATAAAGTTGTATACCAGTCGCTACGTCACAAGCCATTCCAAAAAGTACAGCGACTAGTGAGAAGCGCACCTGACAGCATCAGCGTCCCGTGTTCACCCACTTGGGCCGGCATGCCCGTCTCCAGCACCGGCCGGTCGCCCCTGTGCCACGTGACCCGGCCTCCAGTGACCGGGCATGGCAGCTCGGCCCGCCCGCCGGTCACCCGCACAACGCCGGAGCCTGCCCGGGTCGGGCCCGGGTCACCGACCCACAGGAAGCCGCCGGACGCACGGGAGCCCACCTCGCTCACGGCGAAGCAGCTCCACAGCGTCTCGTCGGCCGGGCGCACTCTCTGAAAGGCCGCGAGATTTCATTAGGTGGGCTGCGCGAAACAAAAGTTTGTGCTCGCGGAAACAAAACACGGCGCGCGGCGCGTGCCGGGGCCACTAACGTCGGCGGACTGGAGACTGAAATTAAATGGTCTCTGGCGGCGGCGGGTCCTCAGCAGGTGCCCCCTGCCGGGAGTGGTGAGAGCCGCTGGGACGGCATGAATCCAAATTAGCCGTGTCAGCCGGAGCGGGCGGCCGCGTTCACTTTCCGGGCCGATCGAACGGTTTGTCGGTTTGAGTAATGGCTGACTTCGGAGCCGAAGACCGCCTATTCGGAGTCTATAGCGGGCTCGAGTGGAGGGCTTGCCACTGGCCGGCCGACCGATTCGGGCAGTTACTTTTCCGCTGAGTGATATATGCTTCCGAGAGCGACCCACTACGCGGGCGCCGAGCCGACGACAGGACAACTTTGTCGGCGTCTGTCAAGCTGTACGGATGAAATGGGCCACGTCAATGCTTAGCCATTCTGAAGAGTTCGAACTTATTCCTGGCAAACAAGCCCGATAACTCAGTGCACTGCGAAGTAGCGGTTCTGTTGTTAGTCATTCCGTAGTGGTACAAATAATGCATGTTTGGTAAATGTGCTTCGGTTGTGTTTGTGGTTGGATGTTTTCTGTTCAGGTGCCGGCCCGTTGGTGTCCAACAGCTCCAAAGACGTTTCGTTATCGTCTTAAGTGGGTGCTCGTTCCTGTGCGCACACAGGAAACCATTCGGTACACAATAAACTATTTTGAGAAAACTCGGCATATCGAGCTAGTGCAAATGCAGCATTGTCTTGCAATGTCTGCAGTATTATCATAATATATGCGAGGGTTTCGTCCAAAAATTGCTAAGCCAGTACCTCCTGGTATGCCGAAGGTCAGCCGTTTTCCACCAAAAAACCACCGCGTCCCAAAACCAACAACTGAAGGCTTGCATTGCCCAAACCAAGCCTGATAGTTTTTCCTTTTTGTATGCTATTAAGGATGAAAATAATACAATGGGCAGCTGACTAGTCCTGTTTAAATACGTGCGGGCGAAGTTCGTATACCTG